ACAAGTGAAAAGTCCCCAAGCACGTGGGATGACGGAGGCTTGCACGAAGGCACCTAACGGGCCCTTGTCAGCTGGGTGTTCTGTGGGGTACGGAAAAAAATACCAGAGCCAGGCTTGGTGGGTGGCGCACACCTGTAATCCCAGTAGCGCTGGAGGCTGAGGCAGGAGGTCGTGTGTTTAAGGCCAGCCTCAGCAACTAGGTGAGGCCCTAAGCAACTTAGCGAGATTGTATCTCAAAATAAAACATAAAAAGGGCTGGGGATGTGGCTCAGTGGTTAAGTGTTCCTGGGCTCAATCCCTGTTACCTAGAGAGAGAGAGAGAGAGAGAGAGAGAGAGAGAAGAAAAAAGATACTGGAGTGGAGACACACTCAGCAAAAACGCAAGGGGCAGAGCACTCTGACCTGCGCGGGGTCCCGGGTCTGAGCCTGGGCGGGCTGCACGGGCACATCAGCAGCTCAAGTCTGGCAACCTGCAGACTCCTGCGCCCCAGGCCACGCCCGTGCGCCCTGGCCTGGCTTCGGAGAGGTGGGCGTGTCGGGGAGCAGGCCTTTTGCACGTGCATGTTCGGTCCTGGAGCTTGGTCACCTTGCCAAGATGACTCAGTGAAACAGGCCAGGGAGCCAAGCTGCCAGTCGCCCTTCTGTGACCCAACCAGTGCAGTCACCTGGGCAGCTCCCGGGGCCGTTCCCTGCCTGTCTCCCCTGGAGCAGAGGTGGAGAGAAAGGAACTGGCCTCGCCCCCAGGAGAAAGGAAGAGAAGACGCAGAAGAGGAAGAGTCCATCCCCGGGTGGAAAGCAGTGGCCAGGAGCCAGCGGGGCCAGGAGGAGGCAGGGCCCACCTCAGGAGTAAGAGCGGTCCCGTTATCACGAGGGATGGTTAGGTTCCAGAAAGAAGTATCACAGAATAAGACGTTTCAAGGTCACCAAAGGGAGCTGACAAATCAGGGGGCGAGTCAAAAGCCCAACTTTAAGGAAACATGTAAATGAAGACCTGCAGGAGTGAGAACCAGGAGAGGGGGGAGGCCAAGACCAGCAGATTTGCCAAGGGAACAGCAGGTGGAAGACTCCAAGGTGGGTGTTTGGAGGCCAGGGTAGCTGAAGTGCCGTGAGAAGAGGGGCTCCGTGCTGATACTCAATACACCACAATATGCAATAGACCCCACTCCATTAACAGCCGCCATGTGGGGGGCACGCCCCGGAACTGAGGACCCATCCCACTGTTTAAACCTTGACATCTTGAGACGGGTTGGATCTGAGTCCTACCCAGCTGCCCCCGGGGTGGGAAGAGGGCTGTTCAGGTCTTGGAGGCTGCTCTGCCTCCCAGGTGGAGCCGAGGACACTGCCTCCTGGGGGTGGGGGCTACTGTCCTTATTCCAAAGGTCCAGCTCCCCCGTGACTCGGGAGTAAAAGGGGACCCGGGCTCTGCTCTGCTCTGCCTTGTGTGGCTCCTCAGCCAGCTCAGAACCTGCGGGAGAGACAAGTGTCATGTTTCAGGACATGTGTATGTGTGTGTGTGTGTGTGTGTGTGTGTG